GGGGGGGGGGGGCGCATCTGGAGGTTTTCTGTAGTTTATTTCTCAAGGGTCGATGCTGAATCACAGTTCCGTTTTGCTTCGGGGGCGGCGGCTGCGGGTGTGCCTTGGTTTCGCGTTTGTGGCTTTCGCCGAGTCGCCGCGGGTGGGGCAGGGTGGCCTGCCCCTCGCCGCCAGGGCCATGGGCCCTGCCCCACCCGCAGGCCCCCCGGGGTGGGGGCAGCGACACCCCCCCCCTGCCCGGGGGCCCGCCGCCTACGGGGCAGGCTCGCGGAGGCCGGAGAGCACCGCCGCGTAGCCGTGGTTTTGTAGCCGGCCCGCGCCCGCCGCGGCGCACGTTTCGATCCAGCGTAGGAGCAAGTCGTTGAAGAGGCGAACGTCGCGCGGGGTGTTGGCTCCGTGCAGGCGGAAGTGTGTGTGGAGGGAGCAAAGCGGGTGACCGTCGTAGTGGATTGTTAGCGCGTCCGTCGCTGGCGCCTTCGGGGAGGCCCACGGTTTGATAGAAAAGCGTTTTGCCTCTGCCAGCGTGCCGCCGCGTTGGGGCTGCAGCAGCCGCCAGAAGCCGTAGTTGTGCTGCCCCGGCAGACGGTGCAGCGCTTCGCGCTGGCCGAAGACGTCGGCCACGTGCTCGAGGGAAGCTTGGTCAAAGTACCGCGAGGTCGCCGTCGCGCGCCGCCACTCCCACAGCACCTCCGGGGTGTCTGTCACAACGTACCCGCCGTTGAAGCGCCCAAAGAGTGATTCATCGGCCTGCCGGATATAGTGGGGCGAGAGGGCGACGGCCGCAGTTGCAGGCATGGTCGGCAGCTCATGCAGAAGTGTGACGTCACAATCCAGGAAGGCCACCGTCGGGGCTGCAGACGACGCAGGCGCGGTGGTAGTGTGGGTGTCTCGCATCGCCAGCTCCATGAGGTTGGCTTTCTCCATCATGAAGTCGGTGTGGCGCGTCGCGTACCAGACCCCGGGCGCGCACTCCATGACTTGGCGCGAAATGCATGGGCCGTAGGCGTCAAGACAACACACCCAACGCACATGGGCGTCGTCGTGCAGCGTCTGCAGCATGGGGGCGAGTGCCGGCGATACCTCGTCACGCATCTCCGTCGTGCAGCCGAGGTAAAGCGGAAGAGTAGGGTGGTAGACGCGCAGGGAGCGGTGGAAGAGGACGAGCTCCTCGGCACACTCTCGCGTTGCCATCGTGCAGACGGCGTCTATGACTTTGCGTCGTGGCATCGATGGTGCAGTGTGAATTCGCTGAAGACTCAAGCAGCTTCCGTGACGCGTAAGAGGGAGTGTGAAGGGTGAGAGGAGTCGGGGGATGTGGTAGAGGAACGAGGGCGCCTACGCACAGCTCGTGATGGCGTTGAGCATTACAGCAACGGAGAAGCGCTGCGCTTTTGAGGAGGATGCGACTACTACGATCATTCATGACATATACTCAGGTGACTGCCTGCCTGCTTGAGTTTCTAAGCAGTGGAGGGAACAAACAAAGGCACGTGCTTAGGTAGGGCCAGACGCAAAGACCTTCCGCAAGGCAAAGAGAACATCGCGCTCTGTTATTTGAAGTTGCATGCCGACCCATATGTCAGCAGGCGTCAGCAACGCAGAAGTCCGCCTTGCTTCCACGTCTGAGACCCTCTGCAACTCCGCGGCTACAGCCACCGGCGGCGCAGGGGGTATGCTAGTGCCAAAGAGCTGTTGGAGGCCATGCTCCCGAAGCTGTGTCCAGTGGTTCGTGCGACCATTAAGCTCTGCCGCGGCGACGGTGTGGGTCACCCCTGTACCACCACGCGTACGTTTCCGTAGCGTGAAGACGCATGCGTCTTTATCATCACCTTCACCGCCGATGGTGGCGCATAGCTTTGGAAGTAAGACGGCCATGGAGAGGAGCCCTTGGCAGTCTCTTCGGTAGTCTGCGATGGGTCGTACTGCCATGTAGTAGTCTTCACCCAGTCCCTTCTCATTGCTGCCACGATCATCGACTGCTCCACGCGGGGCGGTGGCGGTCTCGGGTGCCGCTGCTGCTGCTGCGCCATCCTCGCCATGCACACGCAGTTGTAACCTGCGTTGTGACTGCCGTCGTTGAAACGCAGCCTGCTCCAACGCCTCTACGCGAGCGGCAACACCCTGGCGAACAGCGGCTGCCACGGCCGCCTCAGCGATGATGTGCACCACAAGCTGCGCTACTTGGCTTGCTCTTTCACACAAACTCCTTGTGCTGCGTTCTTTACTCGGCGCAGTGTCGGTGCAGTGGATGATGCTACTGGACTGCAGATACGTGGCGAGACGCGCGGTGACGTCGCGGAGATGGTCTGCGGCTGCCATAGCCATGCTGTGCACTTGCGCTTTATCCGTGTTTCGACCGCCAAGACCACCGCCATAGGTATCGCCGTTGGGGTGTGTTCCTGGGGGAGCATCTGTGGGCGGCAGGGGCGTCGCCGCAAACGCCCCC